AGATGCTAGATGTTTACCTCAAGCCTAGCTTAACGGTGCCATATTTTCTTCATCAGATCGGTCAATTAAATCCAGTGTTCCTTGGTACAGTAATTGGAAAGAAACTTTGATGGAATTGAAAGTGTCCTTGTTACACACAGGTATTTCTTGTGCTGGGCCTCTTTTTCCTGATTGTTCCCACGTTAACTCTTGTCTGTGGCCTCTTGCCCCCATCCCACTACTTTTTCATATTGGTACCAATTAAGATAGTCTCAGATGTTTCTAAAATGAAAGTGGTCTTATGAAGCTTGTTATACTTTGACCTATCATCCATTGCTTTGACTTTTTGATTTATAATATTATTTGCTAAGTTTAGGACATTGTCCTTGAATAGTACAGTTTGAACTGCATCTTATTTTAATAAAAGGGAAAAACATATTTCTCCTTTCAAGGCAAAGTATATTTTGTATAGAGAAAACCCCTTTTTTGCGAGGGGTGGTGGTGTTTGGTTTGTTGCTGCTGCTGCTGCTGCTGTTGTTTTGAGAACAGGGTCTAATGTAGCCTACACTGGCCTCAAAAGTTCCCATGTAGCCAAGGATGACCTCAAACTCCTGACCTCCTGCCACCTCCTCCCAAATGCTTGAATTATAGTATTTACCACTGCAGTTGGCTTGTGTAAAGGACTTTTAGTAGGGAATCATGGCTTCTATTTCAACTCCAAATAAAGGAGCAGGAGCAAAATAATGATTTCATCCTAACTATATGCAAGAATTTTGAAAATTATTATCTTTATTATTTTATGTGTATGAATGTATTGCCTGCAGGTATGTAAGTGCACCTGTGTCATGCAGTGCCTGTGGAGGTCAGAAGAGGGTGTTGGATCCACTGGAATTGGAGTTATAGATGGTTATGGTTGTTAGCTGCCATGTAGGTGCTGGGATTTGAACCTCAGTTCTCTGCAAGAGCAGCCAGTGCTCTTAACTGCTGAGCCCTCTCTCCACCCCTAACCATACAAGAATTTTTAAGTAGAGAAAATTGTCATTAAGTGATAAAGTTTATGTTAAATATGAAAACATTAAAAAGTATCATCTCCCCTGTTAAAAAAAAGTCATTTGAAAAAATAACAAAAAATAGTTTATTGGCATTTAATAAAATTAAAGGCAGACAAAGGAATCACACATTTTCATAACACCTCAAGAAAACATCTAGCTGGAGGGAAAACTTGTTAACATGATTCTAACCGTTCTGAAAGATGAAAACCTATTTCTGATACAGATGATTAAAGTTTTCCTTTGCTTCTCACATCTTTGAGTATCTACTGTCTTTTCACTATACTTATAAAGTTGCTCAAATTTAAGAACTTGTATGTCTGTATTTTGCCTTTTTTCATTTAATTTAATTTTAAGCTATATGTAGTCTTATATTTAATTATGTTTATATGGTTCCAAAGTTAAATTATAAAACACAATAGTGGATATAGCTCTATTGGGAGAGTGCTTGTCTAGCATGTGTGAGGTCCTGAGTTTGAACCCCAGCACCACTGTCCTAGTTTGGTTTCTGTTGCTGTGATAAACACCATGACCAAAAGCAAGTTGGGGAGAAAAGGGTTTATTTCATCTAACAGGTTACAGTCCCTCATCAAGGGAAGCCAGGGTAGGAACGGAAGCAGAGATCATGGAAGAACATCACTTACTGTCTTGTTTCTCTCTGGTGTGCTTAGCTACCTTTCTTATACAGCCCAGGTCTACCTGCCCACAGTGAGGGGCCCTCCACTGTCAATTACCAACCAGCTCTATAGACATGGCCACAGGCCAGTCTGATTGAGGAAGTTCCTCCATTGAGGTAATTCCTTCACTGAGTTCCCTCTGCCCAAGTATGTCAAGTCTACAACTAAGATAAGCTATTATACATGACCACATAAACTGGGCCTGGTGGTGTACACCTGCAGTCCCAGCACTTGGGAGGTGGAGGCAAAGGGTCAGAAGTGTACTAGTTTCATTTCTGTTGCTGTGATAGAATCCCCTGACAAAAGCAACTTAGGGGAGAAAGTTCATTTTGGCTCACAGTTCTAGACATGATCTAGTCTGTCTTAGTGGGGAAGGCATGGCAGGAGGAACAGGAGGCCAGCCAGTCATAACTTTGGCAGTCCTGAGCAGAACAGGAAATAGGGTCATGCTGGAAAACTTGAGTCCACCCCTTATGAAATATGGACAGCCTCTAGCAAGTCTCCACCTGCTAAAGGTTCCATTATGTTTCCAAGCAGCGCCATCAGCTGGGGACAAAATATTCGGACACATGACTCCATAGGGGACATTTCACATTCAAACCACAACAAGGAGTTTAAGGTCACCTTGGCTGTATAGTGAATTCAACACCTGCCGGGGCCATGTGAGACAGATAAAAAACAGTCTAACAAAAAACCCTCAAACCCCCAGTAGAGAGTTTTAGTTAGCCTCTGTCCATTTTCCTTTCCCTTTCTCTCTCCTTTTTCTTTCCTCCTTAGAGATCATTACATTAGGCTTTTTTTTCATTTTGGTGATGCGGGGATCAAGTCCAAGGCCTCATGTGTGCTAGGTAAATGCTCTATCGTAGAGCCATTGGTGATAAGTAAAAAGTGTATATGGATTTTCTAGCCAAAGGCTATTTTGAGGGGAAACTGTATACAATTGGTTGGTGAGAAAGTTGGTTGTGATATATATGTAGTTTGTGTCATTCATTCTCTATTTTCTTTGTAAATTATAGTATTTCTGGGAATTGTTATAATAATATAACAGACTACAATGTTTTACTGGGCACCTCTTATGGACAATAGCGATTCTCAGAGCCACAGGCCATGGTGCTGCTCTGAAGAAGCTTACAGTATAGCCAGAAAGACAGGAGACATCAAGAACAGACAAAAGGAGCTGGCTCTAAGCCCACACTTCTTTATTTCTCTTTCTTTTGTGGTCTTTTTGAGACAGGGTCTCCCTGTAGCCCCAGCTGGCCTGGAACTTGTAGACCAGGCTGGCCTTGAGCTCACAAGAGATCTGCCTGCCTCTGCCTCCCAAGTGCTGGGATTAAAGGTGTGTACCACCGCGCCTGGCTTATACATAGTATTTCTTTTAGGGCATTTGCTGAAATTAAAAATTTTTTTTGTATTTGGCACCAGATGAGATATGGTATTTGATCAACATGTATAGCTTTTCCCTTTAGCCTTTCCAGTCATTTATTCCTGCTCCACCTGCCTCCACCTTCCAAGTGCTGAATCGTAGGCATGTACCACCATTCTCTCTCTCTCATTCTTCCTCCCCCTCTCTTTCCCTCCCCATTTTTTCCTGTGGAGTTTCTCTTCTTCCTCCCCTCTCCCTCTCCCTCCTTCCCTCTCCTTCCTCCCCTTCTCCCCCCTTCCCCCTCTCCCTCTTCCTTTCTTCCTGCCCTTTCTCTCCCTTCCCTGTCTCATTTTCTCATTTTTGAGACTCATACCACACCCCCCTTCAGCATTTTGAGATAAGATCTTAGTTTGTAGCCCAGGCTGGGCTTAGACTTGTGTTAATTCTTCTTCCTCAGCCTCTTGAGTGCTGGGATTAGAGGCATGAGAATGTCTAGCTAAATTTAATTTAAGTATATTAAAAAAAAAGGTGTTAAAGAGTTGACTTTCTATTAGATACATTTATACAAAAATGAAAATATACTTTATAATATTTAATTACAAAATAATTGTCCTCTGAAATTCTCTTTAAAATTTTTTTGATTTAGTTTTGTTTTGTGTGTGTGAGTGTATTGCCTGTGTGTATGTAAGTGTATATGTGTCTCACAAAACCCACGGAGGCCAGAACAGGGTGTTGGATCCCCTGGAAGTGACTTAGGTTGTTAGCTGCCATGTGGGTGCTGGAAATCAAACCCAGGTCCTCTGTAAGAGGACCAGTGCTCTGAACTGCTGAGCCATCTCTCCAGCCCCTGAAATTCTCTTTAAAAAGGCTTTTTATAGTCATACTCAAACTACAGTTTGTTAGACACACTAATCCTGACATTTTGAGCTAGATAATTGTTTGTGATGGGCTATCTTGTTTGTATGCTGTAATATGTTTTGCATTTTCCTAACCTCTTTCCCTAAGCACCAGTAAGGCTTGCTCCCTTCTCTGTTGTGACAACCAAAAATATCTTCAGACACTACCAGATATTTCCTGGGTGCTGAAATCGACCTCAGGGAGAACCAGTGTTCTAAGAAAAGGATTTTCCTTGACTGTGAGCTGACTAATGTAGGGACCCAAAACTTTAGTTCTGAATTACTTTTTTTTTTTTTTTTTTTGGTTTTTTTTGATATAGTGTCTTCCTGTAGCCCCAGCTGGCCTGGAACTTGCTGTGTATACCTGGATGGCCTTGAACTCACAGAGATCCACCTGCCTCTGCCTCCTGAGTGCTGGGATTGAAGGCATGCATCATCATACCTGGCTCTGAAATACTTTTAAAAATTTTATGTACATGAGAATTTTACCTTCATGTATGTAAGTGTACCCATATGTACAATGCCTACAGAGGCCAGAAGAGGGCGTTGGGTCCCCTGGAACTGAAGTTAACATACGGATGGTTGTTAACTGCCATGTGGGTGCTGGAAATCAAACTCTGGTCCTCTGCAAGAGCGGGCAGTGCTCTTAATTGCTGAGCCATCTCTCCAGCCCCCTAAAATACTGTTACCAAGTAGGTAATGTTTAGAAGATTCATATGTAAGTGCTAATGGGAATGTTGTAGGTTTGAGTGTAACAGTTTTAATTTGCTAATCTAAATATTTCCAAATATGAATGTATTTGCATGAATGGTTTAAAATACGTATTTTTATAGATATGACTGTATGTGGTTATATAAAATGTAGTATCCACAAATGAGAAAAAGTGATGTTTGTCTTTATATGTTTTATAAAAGCACAGATAAAAATATGTGGTTTACTACTAGAAATTATTCTCCTTTTAGGAATATGTAATTGAAACTTGTTTTTTATAAACTGATTCTGCTGAATTCTAACTTTTCTGTATTGTTAATTTTAGCTACTACTCCCTGGTTTGAGTCTTACAGAGAGACCTTTCTGCAGTCCATGCCGGCCTCGGATCATGAGTTTCTCAACCACTATTTGGCATGTATCTTTTTAGTCACCTGAAAGCCATTATGTTGATTAATCTTAAAAACGAAGGCAAAAATTCTTGAGATGTTATAGAGGATAGAGAAATTATTTTCGTATTGATGATGATATCACATTTAAAATTATTTTGCGTGTGTGTGTGTGTGTGTGTGTGTGTGTGTGTGAATGTGGTGTGTGTGTGGTGTATGCTTGTGTGTGTGGAAGAGTGTGTGCCAGTGCACATGGAGGTTAGAGGAGGGTGTGGAGTTTCTTGCTGTCTTGCTTGCCTTATTCCTCTGAGATGGGCTTTCTCACTGAAGCTGGAGCCAGGCTGGTGGCCAGCAATCCTCTTGTCTCTGCCTCTTACAGCATTGGAGTTGTAGGCGTGCATAGCCATGCCTGACTTTTTACATGGTTGCTGGGGTTTGAACTTGGGTCTCCATGCTTGTGCAGCAAGCTCTCTCACTCACTGAGCCATCTCTCCACTACAATATCAATATTTGTTACTTAAAAGTTTTTAAATAAAATTTATTTATTTTTATGTTTGAGTGTTCTGCCTGCATGTGTGCATGGGCACCATGTGTGTGCCTTGTGCCTGTGGAGTCCAGAAGTGTATTGGATCTCGTGGAACTAGAGTTAGAGTTATGGACTGTTGTTAGCTGTACTGTGGATGGTGGGACCCAAACCCATTACCTCTGGAAGAGCAGCCAGTGCCCTTAAGTGCTGAACCATCTTTCCAGCCCCCATTGTTGTTTTTAAATGACATTCTTCATACATAACTGCTGACAAATTAAGTTTTGATTAATTTTGATGATAAAATAAGACTAATGAGAGTTGGTTCATTATCTAGCTTGAATATTTCATGTGCAGTAAGGTTTTTTTTTTTTTTTTTTTTTTTTGAGATTGCTTTAGCCTAGTCTGGTCTCCAACATGATTTTCTTACTTCAGCCTCTTGAGTGCTGGAATAACAAGCACATGCCACAGTGTTCTTTTTTTTTTTTAAATTATTTTTAGTCTGTGTGTATGTGTATATTGCCTGCACGTAGGTAAGTGCACCCATGTTGTGCCAGTGCCCGCGGAGGACAGAAGAGACTGTTCGAGCCCCTGGAACTGGAGTTACGTACAGTTGTTAGCTGCCATGTGTGTGCTAGGATTGGAACCTGGTTCTTCTGCAAGAATAGTCAGTGTTCTTAACTGCTGAGCCATCTCTCCAGCCCCTTATTATTATTTTTTTTAACTTTAAAAAAAAATTGAGGATTTCATACATGAATATAAGGTGTTTTGATCAAGTCCACGCCCACTCCCTCCCCTCCAACACCTCCCATATCTCCCTATCACTTTTTTCTGACAACTTCCTCTACTCTCTTTCTTTCATTCTCCTTCCTTCCTTCCTTCCCTCTTTCTTTCCTTCCTTCATTCCTTCCTTCCTTCCTTCTTCCTTCCTTCCTTTCCCTCCTCCATACC